ATCCCTCCATTCAGGCGGCCTATTCTGCCTTCATTTCTGGCTGCATAGCTCCCTGAGCTGCTCCCCCTTGTGGGTGTGGTCCCCCCAGGACCTTCAGCTCTACTGGCCCTGACCTACCTCCAGGCCAGTCATAACCCCAGGCCCTCAGCTCTTGGGCGTTCCTCATGATGGGCCCCTGGCCCTTAGACCTTTCCGGTCCTGGCCCCAGCATTGAGCAGTCGGGGGATTTCAAGACAGATTAAGAGTCTATGGCCCCACTCTCTCTCTCTGGGGTCCACCTTCTAGACCCTACAAAGGGGGTAACCCACCTGGTTGTGGGGGCTAGGGGTTAAGGCACCCCAACCCACCTTTTACCGGGGTGGTCACTGGCCTGGCATTTCCTGGGAGCTACCGTGCCACTGGGATCCCCACCAGGCCACCCACTCCCAGCAGGGTGCAGTTTTAGGTCATGCCCAGGACCAGGAGCCTCCTGACCATCCCCTACAGCTCCTCCCTTATCTCCAGTTGATACCAGCAGCCCTGCAGCCAGGCAATGCTGTTGCCTGGCCTTCTAACAGCAAAACGCCCTGTTTATATGGGCAGCCCTAGATCTAAAATGGCTGCCCTCATCAGGCACCTGCCGGCCACTGTCTTCTGGCCCCTTAAAGTGGTAGCACAAACAGTGCCCTGCCACAGTGACCAAGGTTCCCTCTAAGATGTGCACGTGTGGCCGTGCACAACTAAAAGTGTGGCCATGCACAGCCTTTTCAAGGCTGCGCACCAGAAGAGGCTGGAGCCAGAGCCTGGCGTGGGCTCTGCTGGATCCAGGGAAGTGCTCCACTCCCCTGCATCAGGGCTGGGGAGTGGAGCACTTTCCCGGAGCTGGTGGAGCCTGCACCAGCCCCAGCCTCTATCCCTGCCTTGCCTCACCTCAGGAAGGAGCCGCTGCCTGCCCCGAGTGAAGCTCCACTGGCTCCAGGACACTGATCTGCTCCCCTGCATGGCCTCAGGGGGAATGTCCTGCAGTGTCCCAGAGTTGGCTGAGCCTCACTCGGGGCAGGCAGTGGCTCTTCCAGGAAACTGCTCTGTGGCTCCGCCGGCTCCGGGGAAGTGCTTCACTCCCTAGCCCTGACGCCACATGCCTTCTCGCTCCCTGAGGCAAAGCGGGGGAGCGGAGCAGTGTCCCAGAGCTGGTGGAGCCCACGCCAGGCCCCCAGGCTCCAGGCCCCAGCCCCCGCTGCCTTCCCCGGGTGAGGATTTTACCTTTGGTAAGTGTCCCACGCCTCACCAGAGCAGCATGCTCACGGACCGGTACTCCTTAGAGGGAACATTGGTCACAGGTCTGCCTAACCTCAAAGTGAGAACCCTTCAGGGAGGGAACTGGTTGGGTCACATCCATTCTGACAGAGAGGGAACAAAGGAGTTTATGAAATGACAAAATAACTGTATTAAATCCTTTTAGTTGAACAATAATCCATCTGATGTTTTGCAGGTGTTTGTTGGAAACGACTTTGTTTGGCTGAGTTACACGCTCATTTTTACAAGTAGAGATTTTATTATCCAAAATAAAATTTAGGAAACAACAAAACAATTGTAAAGACAATTAAAAATAATGTTTATGCATTTAAGTGACAGGGTTTATATTAACAAATGTAATGCAGACCTGTGGATCTTATGAAATGGCAAATCAAAGTAATACCTTTAGCCCAGGTAATTTTAGGTTATAATATTAAACAAATACTACAGTTCAGAGTCTTATCAGATTGCTAATTAAGTCCCATTAAACATAGCTGTCAGAATCAGAGTGTATCAGTGTTGCCTAACCATATAATCTGTATCATTTATAAATTTGAAAACTATATGCAATAAATGTAGTAAATATAAATTTGGTTTAAATATATAATACCAGAATGCATCCTAGACAGTGCTGCATACTTGTCAAATGTTATCGCTTTCACATACATAAATAGGTTAATTACTGTAACTTTTTGGTTTTTTTCACCAGCAAATAATCAATTAGAATAATCTTTACTGAGTTAATTTAAACATTGGTATGAACAGTGGTACTTAGAGTTTAAAAGATCAGGCATTTATTAGGATGTACTTTTTTTTTTGCAAATTAGAGAAAGCTGGAGGATGTATGAGAATCCTGTTTTTTAATCTTTCTTTACTTATAGTCTGTGTAAATCTTAATGGTTTGTACTACTGTCAGAATTTCTCTGCTTTGGATATGCGTTTTAGTTATAACAGGCTAAAAGCACCCATAGCAGAGCGCTTCAACTGTTTTAACCACACACATTGACTTAAATAATGAAATTAAAATGTTTGTGAAGGGTTGATCTATGCTTCATATTTAGGTTATTTAAAAGGTTTATAAACTGTACTATGTACTCATAGTACGTTCTCTCATGTTCTCATAAAAAGTTCTCTTACCACAATTATCTGTCACTTGGATAGGAGAAATGTGCATACAAAAAGAGTCTTACTATACATCAGAACTAATGAAGTTGACATTTACTATCAGCTTATATTGGTTGTCCTTGACTGAAATACAGATTCACCATCACCCTAGCTTTACAGTACTGTTATATATGGCACTGCACCTATTGATTCTTCCTTTGGATCTAGTTCATGAGAGGTGTATGGACAAAGCTTCCTCCCCCTGACTCCCAACCTGAACTTGGATTAAAAAAAAGCTTACAAGTGATACTACATAAAGTTTCAAGGTTTTGCTTGGCTTGGTTTATTTCAGCTCTCTGCTAATGGCCAACCATCAAAGTGTCTAGCTCCTTTTGTCCATTTGACATGTTCCTTATAGGCTTCGCCGTTAGTTCGTTCTGGAAGCCTGCGATGTGCCTAATGAAACAAGGGGCTGTTGTTTTTTTAGTTTAGAAACCAACCATATTAGAGGTCATTCTTGCCGTTACGCTTTAAATAGACAAGATAGACGAAAAGTAGAAGAAAAGGAGTAGTAGAGTAGTTCCTCACCCACTTCACAGATGGGGAACAGAGGAATACAGAAACTTAGTTGTTTGCTTGCCATTCTTCCTCTAGCTTTTAACCTGTTTAAAATTGACACGTCACTGCCCTCTTATCACGGAGAATTTCTAAGTGCATGACAATATATCTTCACCTATTGTTATTTGCCAGATAACAGTTCTCTCTCACTGACCATCAAAGCATATTCCACCAGGGCAGAGGCAGCTGCTGACAGTTTCATACCACTGTCAAACACCTGCAACACAGCCATGTAGAACTATTCCCTAGCCATAGTTAAACATTATTGTTGACATAACAGCTAGGTCTGATGCCAAGTTCAGGAGAGCAATCCTCCAGTGGTCATTTGGCTAATGTAGCTGAAACTTCATCCTCACCTAGAGTAAATACTTCTTTCTGGTTAAGTAGGATGGGAACCATATGTACACATACTATAAAAAGAAATATTAGGCTAACTGTTGTAATGTGATTTATTTATTTATTTATTTATTAATGTGGAGGATCCTATCACCCGTGCTCCATCCCTGCTTTTCAGAGTGCTATGCAACATGGGGTTTGAATGATCTGAAACCAAAAAAAGGTTATATTAATACCCTCCATCACACCCTCCTTTGGCAGCATAGGGAGGCACAGGCAACTGCATGGCCACAAAAGCATGGCTAATTCATAGGACTCGAATATCACATGTACAAGGCACATACACACCTACAAAGACATGCACGTTGACTGACTGAAACATCTCAAAGAACCACTTATACTATAGGATCAGTACAGTAATCTTTCTAACTCTGCTAGTCCCCCCGCTGGTTTTTCTTAGTCTTCTCATTGCCAGATATCTCCATTTCCTCTTGTTGCTATGTAATAAATGAGAGACGTGAGAACTTCCCAGAAAGAAGGTTGCAAAAAACTTGCTTTTAATAGAAAGTGTTTTGCAATCTAAACATAGAGGTTGTTACCGGCTTGCAATTGGTATCTATAAATACAGTGTATTTTATATAGAACAGCTGCCTCTGTTTTTGCTTAAAATCATGTTTTAATATCCCAGGTGATTGCATCTTTAATATTGTTTGTAGTAAAAATCACAATAATTGTGTATCAGTCTCTCTTTAAGAACAGTCTCTAAGGAGGCTCATTGCATTTAATTTCAGTGGGGGTTAAATTAAAATTCCCAAAAAAGGAAACGAGTGAGAAGAAACGTCAGGTCTTCCATCTCACTATAATTTTTTTTGACTGATCTCCCGTCTTGTGCAATGCTTGTCTCTAAGCCACAATTGGTACCTTTTGATCTGTTTCTAATTCCAAGCTTGGAGCTCTTATGGTATCGAATTGCCCAGTTCTGTAACGTCTGGTTCTGCTTCTGGCTAAAGAGCTGATCCTGGTGTTCTCTTGTGGGACCTAGAATTTACTTCTCATTTATAACAGAAGAAGGTTGCTGAGACAAATTCAAGCCAAAAAAACTTAAAAGACTACACCTTCTACCCAGGATGCTTTGAGATCCTTAGATGAATGTGAAAAGTTGCTTTCTTGTCACCTCTCCCCATTAACCACCTTTGTTAAAAGAGGTGAATAAAGAATTCCTTCCTAGAACATATGAAGCATACAACTCTGTATGGGTCCAGGTGGATATTACTCAAAAGGCCAGCTCTTTTTCGTGGAGAATATGTCAAGAAGTCTTAGATAAACCTAACGGGGTAAGAGTCCCTTTTTTCCAATATCTTCACGTTAGGAATGATAGATACATTTCGCAAAGCAGTCATTAGACCAGTTACCCCCTTAGAGCAATTCATATATGTAGATTCAAATATGTAGGTTCAAGAAAAAGATAATGTCTAAAATGCATGCAATTTTAATAGAGGAAAGGATGGATAGGAACTCAAGTTGATGAAAGTTTGGCAAGGAGACTTGAGTTGGGGTGATGTAGAGAAATATGGGAATAGGATTATCAATATAACGTGTTTTACATGAAGAAAACTTGTATAAAATATAAATATTTCCAAGATGTATTTTTTCAATGGTAATACATCATGCTGGAGAGGTTGCGGAGGAAAAGGCGCCTTTTTCCATACGTGGTGGCTATGCCCTGCAGCCCAATATTCTATGGAGGGAATGACCAGAATAGTAATTATTGTGATAAGTGATGACATCCCTTTGGATTTGGTGGTTTGTTTACTGAATGCCCCAGTAAAGAGAGTTTACTTTGTGTGGGATGAAAAACTGATATCCCTTCTGCTATTAGCTGCTAGATTATGTATCACTCAAACGCAAAAAGAATCACAACCTTCTCCCTCCCCACACACCCATTGAAAATGTGGTGTGCTAAACTATGGGACATTCTGATGATGAAGAAACTGTCCCATCAGCTTGGAGCATTAGAAAAAAGACGAAAGAAGAATAGATATTTAAAAATATGGATTCCAATTCTGACCCTTGCAGAAGACAGAAGTCAGCAGTCAGTAAGTCAGGGTCTGTAGCCAGAGTCTTTGAATATTGGTTAATATTATTGAATATAATTTTTATATGCATATAAATCATTATGTTGTTCCCAGAAGCGATTAATTTGTTGCTGTATGTCATTTCCATTGTAAAACATAGACCTTATGCAGTTCCTGTGTGTTCCTCTTGTGTTGGAGTTTTGTTTCTGTAGTTGCCTCAGTGGAAAGTTAATTAAAAAAAAAAAAATCAGCTTGCTGTAGCCTCATCATTGTCTGGGTGCATATGGGGTCATTCATCTGGGATCTTCTACTCCAGGTTGTTACAGCCAAGCTTTTTAGAGCCATTTAGAGTATGACTCCAGTTAATTTAAAGTAGATTAATCTCCTTTTTGGAAAAATCTCATCCCCTTCCTATACGAAAGGGGAGGGCTCGCACTACCATGGCTTACCCTTTCTTTCCATGACCAGTATATTCTTTGCTATGCACGTGCTTTGGTTTTATTTTTGGCATAGTTCTGAGTTCTGCTTCCTTCTCTTGTCTTCCTCTCCCTCTACCCCAACTTCCCCAGGGTTCCATGCCGGAAGAGAACAAAGCTGAATGTGGCGGGTGAGCTAGCCAGACTCGGCTCCCTCCTCTGTATCCACCACAAGACATTCTTCTTCCTCTTCCTGAAGTGCTTTACTTCAGCTGCTTGTGTCCCTGTGCTGGTGCAGGTAAGTCTTTGGGGCTCTGCTCAAAACTCGCCACATGAATCTTTGTACTGACGGTAGTCAGCCTGTGCCATAGAGGTTGTCTGTTTGTTCCCGTCTTGGCCAAGCAATGCACAAGGAATGCTACCGTCCTGAAATAAGGCAGGATGCTCTTCAGGTGCAGTGCTCCAGAACAGTTTTGTGAGTTTGTGCTGGAGTGTCGCAGAGCCCTGAGTACAGAGAGTGTGGTAGGCTGGGTTCTAGGGAATATGCTTGGTATAGGAAGTGTTCTTTTCTCATGCCAGGTTTGCTCATATTGCCTATGTTTTCTTTGTTCTAGAAACCTGCCCAGCTTGCTTGGCATCACGTGCTGCAGCTGGGCCATGGCTATGTGCTGACAGCACTGAGCATGTCTGGCCTGAAGATGTCTGGGCATAAAGTATTTGTCACCAGCTTCTCCTCGTGCCTCCGGCCCTACTGTGCAGAACAAGTAAAGGAACAGCCACTGGATGGTGCCTGGCAGGAAGGCCCAGTTCAGCCAGTATGTCCCCAGGCCTCTGTGCAGCTCAGTAGCCTCCTGGAGCTGAGATATGAGGACAAGAGGCCAGTATTGACCAAAGAATCCAAGATCCTGTCATATGTGGTAGGAAGTTGTCCCCCATCATCACCCTTTCTTGCTCTTAAGGACCCCATCCTTCAAGAGGGCCCATGGACTCCCTTTGCACTATGGGCTCTTATTTCCTCAGGAGTCCAGCCCCCTCTGTACTGTGGGGCTTTTTGTAAACTCACTGCTTTCCTCCTTATTCTTGTTCCAGGGAACCATCACTCGAGTACTAAATGCCCAGGCTGGCCTCTATGAGCTTGATAATAAGGTCTGCCTGTGCCTTGCTTACCAACAGCTCTTGTACTTTGCCCGTGGTCTCCGACCAGGAGCATCTGTGGAGGTGAGCTGATGGGGCAGGGAGATGGAGTTTGTGGGGGGAAAACGGAATGGCTGAGACCCAGGGCCTGTACGTGAGTGATGTATGGAGTAGGCCTGGTGTAAAGGAAGGGGGTGTCAAATCTTTTTGTTGACCTGTAGGTGGCACAGAAGCAAGTAAAACCAAGGTCTGACTTATGAGCTTGGCTAGCTGCCCGGGGTTTGCCTCTAGGGTTGACTCCTGGGCAGTATAACATACACAGCTATCTGATCCTCTCACTCCTGTTTACCTGGTGCCAGTTCCATGATTGGCTCCTGGGGTTGATGGGAAATGCTGTGGGGAAATGAAAGGCTTTGTATGTGATGAGTGAGCATTTGGAAGGGGAGTAACATGGCTGCCACCTCTCTGTTAAGTCTTGTGTAGTATCTTTGGAGGTTTTTAAGGCCTGGCTTGTCAAAGCCCTGGCTGGAATGAACTACTTGGGGATGGTCCTGCTTTGAGCAGGGGGTTGGACTAGATGACCCCCTGAGGTCCCTTCCAGCCCTAACTTTCTGTGATTCTCTGATCTTTCAGCTTCGAGATATCCACCTTCTGCAGAAGCCCCTGGGCTTGTTCCATTCCATTGTGCTTGGTGCCTGCTTGCACAGTACTGTACTCCTCAAGGATTTTTCAAGGCTCAGCACCTTCCACCAGCCTGTAGCCTCCTCAGGAAATCTCTATTTAGAGCTGCTCTTCCGCTATAACCTCAGCCTGCCGCTCTACCTGTGGGTGGTGAGCCTAATAGAGATGCTGGAGCAGAGGTAAGGATAGCTTTTCACCACCTTCACTGAGAAATGTAGCTGTATGGGCTGCTCATGTCCCTCTTGGACAAATCCCTGCCCCATTCCCACACATTTTCACTTATTTGCTTATGTCTCAAGTGGTTCCTAATGAAGTTCTCCGTCCCCAGTTGCTTTGCTGTCCCCTCCTGATGGAGTTTTAGGTTTGTTTCTAGGACTTACTCCTGGGCAATTTAACACAGCATTGTTTTGTTCTGGAATACTTAAGGTTACTTTGTATACAGCTGTCAGCCCACACATTAAAAACACAGATGTAAACAGTTGCCTAAAACACCCTAAACAGAAACCTGTCAACAGCAATTCTTAGAAAGCAGTCTTCATCTGGCCCCATTTAATATATGAAGCATCCATGTCTCTGTGGTGATGCTAGTTACAGACTTCATTTTTGTTTGTTTCTTGTGCAGTCTTGTTTTAAACAGTGTTTTTGCTTTCAGTCTCTCTCCTGACTTTCCTCCTGTTAGGTTTAGCCCTTTCTTTGGGCGCCGACAGCTGTTGCTGTTTTCCAAGCACCAAAGTCCAGGAGTAGCTGAGAAGTTTCTTGTTCCCCTTCTGGATGCTGTGGTACCTTCCAAGAACCAGGCCAGAAATATATATAGTGAGATCCTAGGAGAAATTCACGAGTGTCCCCTTCATCAGGTGAGCCCCACTACTTGTGCTCCTGTCTATATATATGAGGGGAGGAGACTCAGATCTGTCTTGCTTTTTGTATCCCTTAGTATCAGCCCCTGGAGCCTCCATGCCAGGCCCCAGCTCTCTCTCTGCTGTGCTCTATGGCTGAGCAGAAAAGCTGGGAAACCTTTTGCCCATCCCAATTGCTGTCGCCCCTTGATGCTCAGCACATGGGCACCCAAGAGCTGAATTGCAGACTAGCCTGGTCCTACAGCACATTCTCTGCAGAGAGCTTCCAGCCCCGAATGGTGAGTCCCAAATTCTTTCTACTCTGGTCTACAAGCTCTCCCCTTCTCTCGCCCCATGAGGCCTGCCTGGGATGGGTGTGGGCTCCTCTTCACTCCTCTGACCTGTGGGTACCGCCAGCAGGAGAGAACCCTGCTTTTATTACCTGTGATGTAGAGAGTCTTCAGAGATAGAATCAGAACAATAGGACTGAAAGGGACCTCAGAAGGTCATCTAGTCCAACCCCTTGCACAAGGCAGGATCAGCCCTGACTAATCCATTTTAAGCAAGTGTTTACCTTAATCTGTTCTTAAATACTTTGAGAACAAGCCCTCACACAAAACTGCCAGACACAATGCCTGAAACAAAAGATAAAATCAAAACCTCTTTAACTTGCCACAAGTAAAGCAGGGAGGTGAGGACACTGTTGACATTTTATCAATGCAAGGACAGAAAGGAGGTTGTTTAAAATATGTTTAGGAGATCCAAGGAAGAGGACCATGCCCATTTCTAGAGGAACAAAAATCCCTTGCAATCTGTACCAGTCTGACCATGGAGTAAAGTTACTTACTGATCCCTAATGTTGGCAATCAGTCTGACTCTTCTGAGTGGAGGAGAAAGACCTTCTACCCAGGAACCAGTTCCCAGCAGGAGCATCTGTGCACCCAACTCAAAATGTCCAGCCTAGATTGTAGCCAGCACCCAGTGCTTCCTGATGTCTGTAACAAAGGGAGGAGACAAAATTACTTCCTGTCCCCACATGGCAACCAGCAAAGTCCAGAAGCCTGGGAGAACCAAATATCTTCCACTCTGTTACAACCTTAGGACCAGAAAAGCAACTCCACAAATTACACACCCTGCCTGGAGAGTCAGAGCCCTCTTTTCTCTCACCTTGTTTCCCCCCCGCACTGCTCCCTAAATGTATTCAAGCTGCTTTAATCTTCTTTCAGTGTTGTGGGGTTCTGCTTCGTTTTTCCACTACTGAGCTTGGTCCTCTTTTATTTACATCTGCTTTGTGCTGCAGAGCATTTCTCATGGTCTCCGAGCAGTGCTCTGGGAAATCTCTGAGGTGTGTTGTGGGGAGGAAGAGGGCGGATCTCCTGGGCTTTCCAGCTGTTGCTCTTCACAGAACACTCCAGGCATTGCTGTTCCTAACTCATACCTGGCTACAGTTTATCCAGTTTCTTCCTGAAAAGCCTGGGAGAGGCCTCCAACGTGGGAAAGTCCACAACTTCCCAGCTTTGTATTGTCACCTCTGCAATGAGGGAGAATGGTTGTTCTCCATCTTCTTCTTTATAGTAGCCTTCCAGATATTGGAAGGCTGCTTTCGTGAGGTTTATAAATGGTCTCTCAGGGACATTTTGATCAACATCCTTCCCAGCTGGGGACTGTCTCATGGTCTTCACAACTTCCTTTCCCTTGCAGGTGTTGCTAGGGGTGCTGAGAGTCTCCTCCAAGAGCAGCTCCCTTCAGCTGCAAGACCATAGTGGTGTGCTCCCCTGTGTGATATGTCACAGGGATGGCAGCCCCTTCGCAGACACAACGCTCATAGGTACGGCCCACTTAGTACCAATTGGGGATCCTGGAATCTCGCTGCTTTGCCAGCAAGCCACAAGGGGTTTTGAACTCTATCATGGCTTTGTCCAGTGGATTCGGGAGCGGGGACACTGAGTTTGCTTTTTTACCCTCCTTCTCTGTTATTTGCAGGGTCGCTTGTGCAGGTGGAAACCTACCAGCTTGTTGTGGAGATGTTCCTTCAAAGTGATTTTCCCTCCTGGGAGCAGTTGCTGAATTTAGAGCATGTGAGGGAGAAGAAAACAAGGCAAGTTTCCCTGGAGCAGAAGGCTTTAGCCTTTGGACAGGAGAGCAAAGGAGTTACAAGTCCCCTAGCTTGGGCCTGGGCCAAAAGGTCATGTTTCTGGAGCCGTGTGCATGGGGGTCTGTGAGTTTTTGAGCAGCCCAAAACTGTGGGTGGAGGGAAGCATCTCCCTGGGTAGAGCCCAGTGTTGAAACAGTCCCAGAACCCGTCGACTTGCACAACTTCCTGTACAACCAGTCTGGGCCCTCTTCACTCCTTCAGCCCAAGCATAATTGAAGTGCATGTCCACCTTTGCCCTGCAAGCTCAGGCACTTTCCTTATAACATGATGAAAAATTTCCTAGATGCTGTTCAACATCCTGGATTTTCCTCTTTCCTCCTGTGGTACCAGCCTCTCTCATTCCCCCAAGTTTCCTTATATGAGACCACCTCTGTGTGTGTGTGTGTGCGCGCGCGCGCGCATGCACATGCATATACACCTGCTTTGAGTTCTTGACCATATGGCATTCATGTCACCAGTAGCTGCTGTGTAGAGAGACTCCTCCTGCTTTCCTCCCCTTCCTGTCAGAGGCAGAGCAGGGAAGGCGTTGGGGCTGGGCCTTCCGCTCCTTTG